GGCGGCAACCAGATGGGTCTAGTTTTTTATCAGTTCCGCCCGGCTGCATTTTTAATGGAAGAGTTGAGGTCATTTACATTCAAAGTGACTATTGAGAAGTAATGACTTGGCTCTGATTTTTCCATAAACATTCCTATTCTTTACTCTGGATTTCCTTTTTACCTTTACTGGGAGACTTTCTGCCTTCACCTTCTTTCATAGTGATGACCATGTTTCTGTGTTTCTGTGTGTAGCACATCCTTAAGCACTTTTGTAAGGTTGGATGAGTGGTGACAAATTCTTAAAATTTCTTTTGTTATAGAAGGTGTTCATTTCACCTTCCTTCATAAAGGAGAGCTTTGCAGGGTACAATATTATGGGTTGACAGTTTTATTTTTTCTCTTAAGACTTGGACTATATCTCACCATTTTCTCCTAGCATGTGGGGTTTCTGATAAGAAGTCAGCTGTGAGTCTAATTGGAGATCCTCTAAAAGTAATATGGCGTTTCTCTCATATACATTTTAGGATCTTTTCTTTATGTTTTACTGTAGAAAGTTTGACTACAATGTGTCATGGTGAAGATCTTTTCTGGTCATTTCTACCTGGAGTTCTATGTGCTTCTTGTTCTTGGACGTCTCTTTCTTTCTCCAAATTGAGAATGTTTTCTGCAATTATTTCACTAAAAAGGCCTTTTAATCCATTTTCTCTTTACACACCTCCAGGAACTCCCAAGACCCATATGTTGGGTTTGTTTGTAAGCATCCCACAAATCTCTGACACTGTTTTTTAGTTTTCTTCTATTTTTTTTTTTTTATCTGACTGTAACATTTCTAGAGATTTGTCTTCTAACTCGCTTATTCTCTCCTCTGCCTCACTTAGTCTGTTCTTAAGGCTTTCCACCATATTTTTATTTGTTGCATTCTGGTCTCACCTCACTCCAGAACTGGTGCTAAGGCTCTTGGCTCTTGGCTGCTGGGGTCTCCATGTAGAACCACAGTGTCCCTCTAATTTGTGTGCAGTTTCCTCTGCCATTCTCTCCCTAACTCTTCCCTGAGACTGTGCTCTATCCATGTGTTTTTTTTTAAACTATCTTCACCTAGACTAGAACAGTAAGTTCCCTCCCTATTCTACCATCTAGTTTTTTAATTTTTAAATTTGGATTTATTTTAAATTTACTTGAGAGAGGGAGAAAGGTAGAGAAAGGAAGAGAAAGGGAGAGGGAGAGCGAGAGGGAGAGAGAGAGAGATTGTCCATCTACTACTTTACTTTAAATGTTGAAGTAGCTGGGACTGGGCCAGGCTGAAGCCAGGAACCTGGAAGATAATCTGGTTTTCCCATGTGGGTGGCAGAGACCCAAGTACTTGAGCCATCATCTACTCCCTCCCAGGGTATCATTAACAGGATGCCTGAAGCAGAGCTAGGGCTCAAATCTCGATACTCCTATATGAGATGAGGGCACCCCACGTGGTGCCTTAACCACTGTGGCATATACCCACCCCATGTCATCAGTTATTAATCAAACCCTGGCCATTTGGTACTAATCATTGAAAGGTTATTGTTTGCCTTATGGAATTGCCTGCTAGAAACAATTGTTCAACTTTCTTGTTTTAAAGATTTATTTTATTTACTTGAAAGACAGAGTTATATATAGAGAGGTAGATAGAGGGGCCTTCTATCCATTGCTTCACTCTCCAGATGACTGCAATGGCCAGAGCTGAGCTGATCCAAAGCCAGGAGCCAGGAGCTTTTCCAGGTCTCCCACGTGCAAGTAGGGGACCAAGGGTTTGCGCCACCTTCTGCTGCTTTCCCAGGTGCATTAGCAGAGAGCTGGATCAGAAGTGGATTAGCTGTGACTTGAATCCATGCCCACAGGGTATGCGGGTGCTGTAGGCCGGGGCTTTTAACCAGCTATGTCACAGCGCCAGCCCCAATTTTTCAACTTTTTATAAGTCTGACTTATATATAGTATGTTGACCTTCTGGGCTGGTTATTATAGATAATAGATTATTTTTCTTAACTGGTTGAGATAGATTTTTGGTCACAGTTCTGTGTTTACATATATTGTCTGGCTATTGTGCATGTATATTTCAGTCTCTTCTATAAATTTCTGAGAAAATAATTATGAATGTATGTATTGGTACTAATTGAAGAATTATCTATAATATAGAAAATTGGATCAATCTAACTTTACAACAGAGGTATACTTAAGTAAATTTTACTGTGTTCATGTAATATTATATAACCACTATCTTTCTTTCAATGGTATAGAATACCTAATAGCATTAAATATTTATGATATTTTAAGATAAATTTGAAGGTCTAAAACAATTATGGCTTCATTTTTATAAAACAAAGTGTGTGTCTAGGGAAAAAAACTGGTGTGATATGTATTAATGGGCTCTATTGGTAATGTCAGGATGGCATGATTAAGAGTTCATTAAGTTTTTTTCTTTCTCTAGTTTTTAATTTTATACAATGTATGCATACTATGTTTTATATACAAATATTATTGTAAATGTTTAAAGGGAGAAAGGAAAAAATAGTCTATATGTTGACCTATGTAATTAATACATTTTTTTTTTTAAAAGATAGAGTTACAGAGAGAGGTAGAGACAGAGAGAGAGGTCTTCCATCTGCTGGTTCACTCCCCAGGTGGCCTCAACGGCTGGAGCTGTGCCGATCCGAAGCCAGGAGCCAGGAGCTTCTTCCTGGTCTCCTGTGTGAGTGCAGGTGCCCAAGCACTTGGGCCATCTTTCACTGCTATCCCAGGTCATAGCAGAGAGCTGGATCGGAAGAGGAGCAGCTGGAATTGGAACCGGTGCCTATATTTGATGCCAGTGCTTCAGGCCGGGGCTTTAACCCACTGTGCCACAGCACCGGCCCCATTAATACATACATTTAGGAGGAGAGACCAAGATATGATGAAAGAGATGTGAGCAAATGAATCTAAATACATGTAGTGTGAAGGGGAATACTGTCTTAAATGTGCCTTTCTGTGATTTTTTTTGTGAGGCATGATCATTGACTAAAGCTGTTTTGTTACGATAGCTGTTTCTCATAAATGTGTTTCTTGAAAACTGAAAACTTCTATATTGACAAGCTGTCAAATGAAATGCAAACCTTTTTGTCCAAATAAATTCTTATGTTAGTTTCACAGATGTATTGAGAATATTTATTTTCAAGATTTATTTAGAGGGGCTGGCATTGTGGCACAGTGGGTTAAAGCCTCTATCTGCAATGCAGGCATCCCAAATGACAGTGCTGGTTCCCACTGCTATGCTTCTGATCCAGCTTCTTGATAATATACAATGTAATAAATGTAATACAATGTAGTACAATATAATAAGGCAATGGATGCTGGCCCACTTGGGTCCCTGCCATCCTTGTGGGAGATTTGGATATAGTTCTCGGCTCCTCTCCTCAGCTTGATCCAGCCCTGGCTGTTGCAGCCATTTGGGGAGTGAACTACAGGATAGAAGATCTCTGTCTCTCTGTCTCTGTCTCTGTCTCTGTCTCTGTCTCCCTGTGTGTGTGTGTGTGTGTGTCTCTCTTCTTCTCTGTCAATATATATATTGACTATAAAACATTTTTAAAAATAAATAAATCTAAAAACTCACATAGATGTCAGTGATTTCCTGTTATTAATTGAGGTCTATGGATGAAAAAACTTTGTTATACCTTCCTCCCTTAGTATCCCTGGGGAATTGATTCCATAACCTCTACAGATAGCAAAATCTGTGGATACTCAATTCCTTTGTATGAATGGGGTGGTGTTTGCATCTAACCCATACCCATCCTCTTGTGCACTTTGAATAATCTCTAGATTTCTTCTAATACCTAATACAATGTAAATGCTATGTAAATACTGGTTGTTATGTTGTATGATTTAGGGAATAATGGCAAGATGAAAAGATGTATCACTATTCAGTACCAACCCAGAGGGGTTCCCCAAATATTTTCAACCTGCAGTTGGTTGGACAAGGAATATGTGGATGTGGAGGGCCAATTGTATATATAACCAGGAGAATTGTGCCACCCTGTGTACACTAACAGTTTCATTTTTTGAGGACCAAGGCAGAACCTAATGGTCTTTCCTAATGGTGTCTTAGAAGGGGCTGGTTGGTCCCAACCACTCAGTCCTGTTCTCTCAGGCCCAGGCCTGTGAGCTTTAGGGCCAACATTTTGCCTAGAGGTAGTTTTCCGTATCTTTGGTCAACAATAACAACAGCCCTTCTGACCTAAAAATTGGCTGCTGTTGTATCCACAGACAGGGAAGTACTGACTGTCAGGGCCATATTCCGTTTTGCATAGTGCTGCAAGTGAGACCTTTATTTAGGTCTGTGGTTTAAAGAGAATTCTAAAATACCAAACAAAACCAACTCTGTAGCTACTGATCTTGGAATTCACATTCATCTTGAAATATCCTCAGAGCAAGGAGTAGGAGCTGAATTTTACTGTGTCCTCCACAGTGCTAAGCATGCAGTTCAAAATCAGTTATGCTTACCCACAATCTACTTTATGAAGGCACCAATTCTACGTTTAGCTTGAAAATTTAGATTTGGAGAATGAGCGAGAAGAAACAATGATTAGGCTTTAAAATGGTGAATGGGACCTTGTTAGAAACAGCCACCTTTGTTTATATCATTTTTCTCTTTGTCATCTGAGACTGTTCATTTCTGAGTTATGAACCTTTCATGCTCATGTGACCTAAATGGGTTATCCCTGCCTAAGCGAGTCTGCCGTCACTGAGTTATTTCAAAGGAGTCCCTAAATCCAGATGTAAATAGATGCTGTTTGTAGAGGCCTAAACAACATGTCTCAAACATATACACATTTCTGCTTTCCAAATGCACTTATGTACTTTCATAATTAGTAAAATGAAAACGTATTTAAAAATATTTTGAATTCAGAGGAGCTACTTTGACTGTCTATTGTTTTGGTTTCAGTTACTTTTCTCCAAGAGTTTTCATATTCATTTCTTATTTCACATTACATTAACAGATCAAGGAATATCTTTCAGATAATTGCTCCCAGGAGAAAAAGGAGGAAATCTTGGCAAGTGAAAAACCCAGTGGACACAATTCCAAGCAAGGGAAACCAGACTTGCAAAGTCAAGACCATCCTTGTACGAGCCCCATGTTCACTCAACCTCCCAGGACCACGGCCTTGTAAGGATAACTTATTTAGCTTTATATATTTTTTTTTTTACAGGCAGAGTGGACATTGAGAGAGAGAGACGAGAGACAGAGAGAAAGGTCTTCCTTTGCCGTTGGTTCACCCTCCAATGGCCGCCGCAGCCTGCGTGCTGCAGCCAGCGCACTGCGCTGATCCGATGGCAGGAGCCAGGTACCTATCCTGGTCTCCCATGGGGTGCAGGGCCCAAGGACTTGGGCCATCCTCCACTGCACTCCCTGGCCACAGCAGAGAGCTGGCCTGGAAGAGGGGCAACCGAGACAGAATCCAGCGCCCCGACCAGGACTAGAACCCGGTGTGCCGGCGCCACTATGTGGAGGATTAGCCTATTGAGCCGCGGCGCCGGCTTAGCTTCATTTTGATGTGAAGTAGGAGACAGCCTCATTCACTGGCTGCTTCTTTTAATGCTGTATGAAGGATAAGGAGGAATTCCTAACTGTTTCTGAAACTTTTATTGTATGTTAAGTTTCCAGGGCAATAGACAAAGACAGATCATCTACAGGGTAACTTCCCAACAAGATAGCTCTGTTTTGCAAGTCATCAGTGGGCCTGAAACATCTGTGCAGGAAGAAATGTCTGTGGACGCTATGCATGTTTTCATTGATGAACATGGTGAGTCTTGAGAGTGTTTTACTAATGAGCAAAAAGGGGACAAGCTTGCAGCTTTCCTGGGATTCTACATGGTCCCTTAGACTGAGTACCTGACTTTGGAATGTAAAACTTTAATCCTGAGATTGCCCACATACTATTCTTAGAACAGCATGTATTCCCTCCCACCTCCAGGCCTTTGCAGGTGCTATGTCCCTATGCCTGCATGTTATTTATCCTTCAGGTCCTAGTTCTAAGGTAGGCTTTTCAGTAAAATCTTTCCTAGCTTCCTCACACACAATCGGGTTCCTCTCTTCTTTACTTCCTTAATACCCTGTCCATTTCTTTATTTGATAGTATTACAGCCTGTAGCTATTTATTTACTTACAATAATAATAATTTTATTGATATTTTCTTTCTTGCAATTGTAAATAAACTTCAGGAGGGCAATGCCCAATACCCCAGTAAATATCTCTTGGATATATACTAAAAATATGACCTTGACATCTTTTTTCAGTGCTTTCTTATAAAAAGAGTTTAAAATAGTATGCCTGGGGAATCATTATTGACATGTTTAAAGTTCCAAAGAAATGGATATAGGTCCTAGTTTTTCTGGGATGGGTCTTGGCTTCTCACTTATAGAGCAAGTAATACTTGATAGTTTACTCTCAGAGGATCCTGGTTTAGATAATAAATTGTGTGGTTAGGTTATCTGGAGTCCAGATAGTTAAGTTTATAGCTGTTAAGTATTTTTGCATCCACACAAATACTTTCAAGTTATAAGAATAATATTAGCACATCTATCAAAGCTTCTATAATGTTTTTCTGGTAGAGTCCACCTTTGAATTGAGGGCCTTCTTCCAGCTGCTCACATGCACAAGGTTGATTATGCTTCTTGTGCCCATGAAGAAGCTATTCTTAAGAATTCTTCTGGGAAGAGACTGTTTACATTATAAAGGGAATGGATTTCCACACCTCAATACCCTGTATCCCTTTATTAGAGCTAATTTAACTCTGCAAATGAATTCAGTCCATTGCTTTTCCACATTAACAGGCTGACACTCTGGTAGTGTGCTGTGGTGCTTACTCATCTGCATATTCAGGGACAGGGATGGTCTCCTGTGGTTCACCACTCAAAATTGCATTGCTCAATGAGCCTTGTTTTGCTCATGGTACTCATGTATATGTATCCCCTCCAAAAAAAACAACAAAAAGCCCCACACCAACTCGTGGTTGTAGCTACCACATATCACGCTGATAACATGAAAAGAAAAATCATATAAAAAAGTGAATTAAGAGATGATACAGAAAAGTCCTTTGGCAATTGAGATTAGAAAGAAAGTTTTCTTAGTAAAATTTCTCTGGATGTCCCTCTTGTTCCTGTTAGTCACATTCTGTGGAGAAAGGATAAGAATGGGCCTAGAGTTTCAGTGATTATTTGAATAGTCCAAAATGAGGCCTTTAACTTGAATGTAGCAAAAGCTGAATGATTGTATACAAATAATTGTGAAATATTCTTTGATGAAATTTTGTGACCTTACAGGGGAAATTAGATCCTGTTACTTAAAGTCTGGAAATCAGAAAGAAGGCCCTTCACAGTATACGCCATCAAATCATGAGCGTCTCTCTCAGGCTCGGTGAGTAGAGCTGTGTAGATTTGAGAGCTGTCACATTGCCGGAGGCATGCAACCTATTCTGAAAATGAAGTGAAGAGGTTGGTGTAAAAGGAATGTGTTAATCTATTTTAGGTGTCAATGTGTGTGGTTTTGTGGGAAAAAAACATCTGACATCGTAGAATAATGAAAAACGAACTGAATCATTTTCATTGACATCACTTCCAAAAATGAATATAATGTGTAGAGGGAACCCTATGTAAACATAATAATACTCCCAGAAGGAAGAGGATAAAGCTTGCAAACACATCATTAAACCTCTTCCAAGCAGGGGATTAGAGGTATAGTTATCATTCAGAGCAATGAAGCCAAAACTACTTTTACATATTTATTTATTTAACTGGTAATGTCATTTAATTTACATATTTATCATTTAATTTGAGAGGCAGAGAGACAGAGACTGACAGATAGATAGAGAAAACATTCACCAACTTGGACTAGGTTCACCACAACACATTCAGTCTTAGTGAAAGGGTATTGGGCAGGCTCAGGTAGGGACACAGCTAGGGCATGGGAGGTGGATACTGAATGTGTTTCTACAGTACTTTGCTATGAGGCCATGTGACTTAAAAGTCTCAGAAGAGTAGACTCTCAAAGAGTAGACAGTAAAGAGAGCATGTGTATTCCTAAATATTCTATACATGTAAAAGTAAACATGTATATTATTATTTTTAAAAGCACAAGAAAGAGAGGATATGCATGGCAAAGTGTTATTCGTTCCTAGAACTCAAAAGAACAACACTTTCACATGATGTTGGTATAAAAGCAGTGGACAAAGACCTGGGATTTGCCATGTGATACTGGTGGACCAATACTTTGTTGGAATCACCACACACCACATAGGTTAGAGATGACTATGGACACTACATAAGGATTTTCGATCTCTCAAAATGACCAAAATGAACCAGCTGTAATTTCCATGGTGTGGAGACTAGCCAGCATTCAGGAATAGCAGGCAGAAAGCTGAACTGGACAGTGAACAGGGACTGGGGCCATGAAGCTTGGTTGAGTTCATGCTCTGTTCTCTATGTAGCAGGAGTGATCAGACCCATTTGAAGAGAGAAATACCTCTGATGAATGTGGAATCATCATGAATATGATTGAGAGTAGGGAGCTGGGGGGAGCCTGGAGCAGCAGTAGTCTGCTTGGTCAACACATCTGAACATAAAATGTGATACTCACTTTTAGTAAATGGGAAAGTAGTGCAAAAAGAAACCTGCTAAGCAATGCTCTTTAAACCATTCTACATAGAAATCAGATGTAGAGACTCAAATTAGATTTTCTAGTCCTGTGTTCTTTTAATTCAAAGAGAAATACTTCTCTGTTCATACAAAAGCTAACAGTGGAGGAAAATAAGACACTGAAAACCATACTTCCGGCCAGCGCCGCGGCTCACTAGGCTAATCCTCAGCCTTGCAGCGCCGGCACACCGGGTTCTAGTCCCAGTTGGGGCGCCGGATTCTGTCCCGGTTTCCCCTCTTCCAGACCAGCTCTCTGCTGTGGCCTGGGAATGCAGTGGAGGATGGCCCAAGTGCTTGGGCCCTGCATCCCATGGGAGACCAGGAGAAGCACCTGACTCCTGCCATCGGATCAGCGCAGTGTGCCGAGCGCAGTGTGCCGGCCGCAGCGCGCCGGCTGCGGCGGCCATTGGAGGGTGAACCAACGGCAAAGGAAGACCTTTCTCTCTGTCTCTCTCTCTCACTGTCCACTCTGCCTGTCAAAAAATAAAAAAAAAAAAAAAGAAAGAAAGAAAACCATACTTCCTTGAAATCAGAGAGTTAGTATCTTGCAGCATGAAAACGAATTTTCAGCACTAATATTTATTTTTTGTACAACATTGTGTAACATCCTTAACTATCTAAAACATCAGTTTTCTAAACCATAGATGGGGACAATAATTCCATAACTAAATCACTGAATTGTGTTAAAAATTAAATGTGTGAGTGGGCATTTCATCAAGCATTTAAGACTCCCACAACACATTGGAAAACCTGGGCTTGATTCCTGGCTCTGTTACAGGAAAATGGCAGCAGAGAAATTATTGTTACCTCAATTCTTTGTCTCACATGGAAGAAGAATTTCCAAGCAGATAGCAAAGAGATTTAAAAGTATTTATTAGAATCAAGGACCTCCTGTGGTGTGGAGGGGGGCTTCCAAGAGAGGAAAATTCAAAGGGGACTAGTATCAGTAGGCTTTAAGTACAATTTTGAAGGAAAAAAATTGACAATCAGATTGGCATTCTCAGTGACCAGGAGGAGACAAAAACCATCAAAAGACCTCATTTATAATTCTCCTTCCTGTCTGGCCTGCTAAGGGTGGGATAGATAACTTATTTTCACAATAAGCTGCGAGCTCAGGAAGTGCTCCATTGCTATTCCATGGTAAATTTGGAAGATTCCGAAGGAAGGAAGGTGGCAGGTTTGTTTTTGCAAATATTTTACACCCCAAATTCCATTGGGATCCCCTGACTATCTATTAACCCATCTGACTCCTCACCGCTCTAGCTCCTGATTTCAGTTTTCTGCTAATGCAGACCCTGAGAAGCACCTGAGGTGGCCCAAAGTAATTGAGTCCCTATCATTTAGCATTCCCAGCTCCTGGTTCCAGCCCTGGCCTGGCCTGACCATTGTGGGCATCTAGGAAGTAAACCAGTGGTTGGGGTTGTCCTGTTTCTCTCCTTCTCTGCCTCTCAAATACATAGAAATTTTAAAAAATAAATGTAGTAGTATATTAATTTTTACAATGACTACAATAATATTAATTCCTGATTAAGACAGTACTTACCATAGAGGACACTCAGGAAATGTTAGATGGTGTTAGTGTCCTGGATAGAGGCAATAAGACAGTGGCTACAGTTCACCATGACTGTGTGACAGAAGATCCTGACTTTTGGCCAGGTAGAGGCCTTTCCTCTAGTACTTACATAAGATCACTTTACCTAGTTTTAAGGTTGTTAAGGACTCTTTGTTCTCCCTGTCAACCTATTGTGTTCCAATATACTGGAATCCATGGCACTTTTAACATTGGTACTTTAATGCCATCTCTGGCTTTTAGTACCATTACATTTTGAGTCCTATCATCATAAACATAAACTTCGATTTTTGAACTTGGAAGAATGCCTAGTCAGGGCTGTTATTCTAAGCCATCCAGCCATGGAAGATATTGGAAAAGCAACTTTTTCACTATAAGGGACTTCAGTGACTGGGATTGCCTCCAACTAGGCCATTAAACCACTGGTTCTTATTATTGGCAAGAAAGTCTTTACTCTTGGCTATTGTAAGCCTTGTTGCCATGTGACAGTTTTATATCCTGGACTCCCAAGTATGAATTGGGAATTGTAAGCATTGTAATGTCCATGTCTCTTTGGGGATTCCTGGAGGAAACCAGGAGAGGAAACAAATTTCCCTCCTTGGCCCCACTGTCATTGTGGGAACCAGTGAACTTCTCCTGACCTGCCAAAGAAACACATATTTTCTGGTTGCACAATAACAGTCCATAATGCAGTACCTTCAGTACCATTATCTAACATAGTTCTGATTTCCCAAGAAAATAGAATAAGGGAACTATGGCTTGCACTGCAGCATTTAGAATTGCTTGTTGAAAAAACTGCTAGAAGAAAAATTCATTTCAGTGTGTTATTGCCTAGACTATAAGATTCTTTCAGTAGCTCAAAGCCTAAAAGGAGCTAATCTACTTGGATAGTTGAAGTCAGCTACCTGCCTAGCAAGCTGGAGCTGAAGCTGCCTAGGAAGCTGAAGGATGTTTTATGTCTGAAGGATTCATCATTGTGGACTTAAGTTATTCTTCTGTAGGTCTTACAATTAGAACTTGATAGTTTCTGTTCTTTATTGAGCCAAGATTTATATATCTCTTATAAAAGTTCTATAGCCATCCTTTGGTATTAATCCAGGTTTTCTAGAGTCATAAGCAGTCTGATGAAAATGCATGTGAAATATGTATCATCTGCTCCCTAGTAAAATATAATGGAAAGACATAGTATTTACATACATTTAGAGCACTCACAAATCATAAAGTGGGCATAGTAGTCAGCTGATATAAAATGTCATTTTGGAGCAGATTTGTTTACAGAACCTTTATTGAAGAATTTTGTATCAAACATGTTACCTTGGGGCCGGTATTGACACTGGCATCCCATAAAAATGCCATTTTGAGGCTTGGGCACTCCACACTTTGTCCAGCTCCCTGCTAATGTGTGTGGGAAAGCACAGAAGATGGCCTGAGTGCTTGGGCCCTCTCTTCCCCTTTGGGAGACCTGGATGGAGTTCTGGGCTTCTGGCTTTGGCCTGGATCAGCCCTTGTTGTTTATAGCCATTTGGGGGAGTGAACCAGGGGATGGAAGATCTTTCTTTCTCTGTCTTTCCCTCTTTCTCTGGAACTCTGCCTTTAAAATAAACAAGCAAACAAATAAATAAATCTTTAAAAAGTTACGTCAACTATATTTTATTAAAAAATATAGAGTAGGTTGATTATGTAGTATTTATCTCAGTTCACTCAAACATGTCTTTTGTTTTTGAATCATTGTAGCATGTGTTGGAGCTATTATTCTGCCTATAAATTAGACTTCTTTTTGAAAGCTGCCCTAAGTCTCTAGGCCTATTGTGTACCATACTCCAAAGCTAGGTGGAAGCCCTGTACTTAATCTTTGTTGCCTCCTCAGATTTCTTCCTCTTTTGTTGATATTATCAGCCTGTCTGGCCCTTATCTCCATGAAACCTCCCTTATCCACTGGGATTAGCTGTCAGGAAAGTCAGGATGTTTAAGTATATATCTGGTTCCCAGAGAAGATAGCAAGCAGAAAGTTGCAAGAAATGATTATCTCAATTTTTCACTTTAGTTGAGAGAAGTAGTGACCTCTGATTTGGAATAGCTGAGCAGAAATGTGAGCACTGGAATAAGCCAATTAGATGTGCAAGATGCAGAATGAAATGTGACTTCACTCAATT